GGTGTAGAGGGGGCCTGGGGAGGGGAGGGGATCTCATTTGGTCTTGCTGTTGTTGTTATTGTTATCGTGTGTCGTGTCGAGTGCGTGAGATTTTGGCTCAGACAGACAGGCAGGCAGAGACCTGCGCGTGTGTGTTTATGCAATGCATTGGCTGCCTGCCTGGATGGATGGAAGCAGCAGCCATTGGTTGACGCTATGCTTTGGTGAATTCATTCAGTCAGTCATCATTGAAATGTAATGTGTACACGCCAACGTTCGTTAACGTCCAGCCATCCACACACACATCAATCCATGAGTATACACACACACACACACACACACACACGGCTGGAAGGGAGAGGAAGGAAAGCCGATGGAATGCACACGAAGGCAGTTAGGGAGAGAGAGAGAGAGAGAGAGAGGCGAACAAACAACCACAGGCCCCACCCCATATACTATACGCCACCCACCCCAGTAAGAGCCGCGTGTACACACATACCCAGCCCCCCTCTGTCTGGGCTGCCTGTGTGGCTATCATATCTCTCTCTACCATCTCCTCGATGTGCGTTAGTTAGGATATCCTCTCCACATAGGCCCCACCGATGTCGTGGACACGCGCCTGCCAGTTGAAGTTCTGACACCACACACACGCACACACACACACACACGCACATCATCATCAGCACAGCAACAGTGTGTGTGTGTGTATGGTGGCACTTCCCCCCACTCACTCACCCGCTGGTCCGTCCCCCGCTTCCTGAGATGCTCCTGGTACTCTGACGCACCCATCCCATCCACACACACATGCGGTGTGATGAGCGTGTGTGTGTTTCTCTTGCCCGGCCCGCCTCTCTGACAGGTCTGACCTGGTGTGCCGAGCAGCTTCATGACCTCCTTGTGGGTGTAGTCCTTGCACGAGTACTTCTTGCCAGCAGGCACCACCACCCGGTTCAGCACATACGTCTTCGCTGCATACCACACCACATTATTGCACACCACACCACACCACACCACCGCACAATGATGATGACGACAAAACAAAACGTTCTCTCCCTCTCTTCTCATCTCAGAGCTCTGCTTACGTTGTGGCCGGACCGCCCTCACCCCTGCACCAATCGCCATCCACACCACATAGATCCCCAGAGCCACGCCGCCCAGCACCATCGCGTCAAAGAAGGGCCATGAAGCGCGCTGCGGCAGACCCCGCCACCACGACGGCAGCCGGTTGTCGACGGCCTGCAGCAGATGCACGAGCAACGGGTGGCTGAGGAGGTGCGTGGCGGTGGGATGGAGAGGGTGGCCGGGGATGAGGGTGCGGGAGTAGCCTATGAGAGCGACGGGGAGGACGATGGTGGCGGATACCGTCACGTAGATGAGGGCGCAGAGGCTGCAGCGAGGCATTCTGCTCGCGCGTCAGGGTTTGTGTATGTAAACACTGCTGTTTTGTCCCTTTTGCGTCTTGGAATGTGGGGCTGCGTCTTGGATGCGTCTTGGAATTGGGGTGGGTGCGTCTTGGAATGTGGCGACTCTGTGCTGTGTGTGTGGCGACTCTTGTGTGTGTGTGTACCTGTTGGCTGATGGCCTTCATGCAGCCTCACCTGCTGCATTGGATGAGAGGTCGGTGCAGCACCCAGCTGAACGCACAGTGAATGCTGCAGACCTGCCGATGTGGCTAGGCGGGGCTGCATGGTTCGCAGATGGATCGTGTGGTTTGGATCTGACGTGTGGATGAGACAGGAAGTTTCTTCATCCAATGAAAGGCCGTCAGCGATCGTCCCGAGGACCACTCGAAAAGCCAACACACACATACATACGTGCCCCCGTCCCACGCAACCATCCATCCGTCCATCCATGCCTCTACCTCTCCACTAAGGCCTTTTGTGGCTTGGAGGCCGGCCGGCCCTCCCCGAGCTCATTGACTATGTCGAGCGGGTAGATGGGCCCGCCCTCACACACATAGCGAAACCACTCTGACGGCTCGGAGCCGCGCAGAGGGATCTTGGACTGACGGCCCAACCGCACATCGCCACTCAGCTCCTCCTCGCTTATCCACAACGCCCCCGCACTCTCTGACACACACACACACACACATGCGCAGAGAGAGAGAGAGAGAGAATGTTGAGGGCATTGGCTGACTGACCGAAGTCTGGGAATGTCTTGGGCTGCTGTGTGTGGTCCTTCGGCTGTGCGTAGAAGATGACCTTGAGCCGCATGCTGACCTTCGTGTGGTCGGGGTCTGCCCTTTGCCCACCGGGCGTCACACGCATCCGCTGCCTTCGGTGGGACGAAGGCTCGACCGACACGCAGTGCTGCGACACGTCGACACGCAACACGCCCTTCAACTCAACGTCTATACCGCCCTCCTCCTTGGTCTCTGCACACACAGATGGGGGAGGGAGGGAACACATACATGCCGGCCGATGCGGTGTGTGGTACTTGTGTGTTGTCGACCGACCTCGTATAGCGCCGGCTTGAAGGCTCTCGCCAGGCTCCACGTGACCGCCAGGCAGCCAGTACCCTACACATACGCACACACACGGCACGGGCGATGCGATGCCCGCAGACCCATCGACTCGATGACCCTCCCGACCCGCCCTCGGCGTACCATTTCCGCCGTACTCCTGCACCAGGAGGAACTGCCTGGTGTGAGGGTTCTCCACCACCACTAGAGCGAAGCAGCTCACCGTCGCAGGATGGCTGCTCACCGGCACCCAACCCTCCCCCTCTCCATGCAATGCCATGCGAGTGACCGAGTGGCGCTTGACGTCCTCGGGCGGCGGGTGGCCCTCGACGATGTGCCTGACGATGTTGTGTGTGGTGCGGCTGCATAGCGGACACACATGGGTCTCGTGAGTGTCGCTATGGATGTGGAAAAGCGGCATGTGGTCCCACAAACCCAACTCTGACCAACAGACACGCATCAGTGAATGGAGGAGTGGGCAGGTGTTGGTCCGGGCTAGCGCACCTGTGAAGCCGTCTTCGCCGCACAGGGGGCAGGTGAAACCTGCCCTCCCTGCCCATCGATGGAAGGACGATGTGGCGAGCCGGTTCAGCTGGCCGAGCACATTGATCAGATGATCCAACACGTGGGTGACCATGTGTGCACCCTGTCAGAGCCAACAGACAGAAGCACAGACAAACCATCTCTGGTCGGAACGAGGCTTCTGTGCAGCACTGACACGAACGTAACGGACCGCTGTGAAGGCTGTGAAGCGCCTGGCTGCACTGCAGCTGACGCTCGTGCCGTACAAGACCAGAAAGCACCGGGGCCGCTCGGCGTGGAGGATAGAGGAGAACTCCTCAACAAACCGCAAGAATGACTCATCGCATCCCTGCACAGACAGCCACACAGACAGACAGACAGACAGACAGACAGACAGGCACACACAGGCATAGATGAGATCTGAGGTGAATACTATGCCTCCATTGTGTGCGTGTGGCGTCTTGTCGTTCCTGCAGGTCAACAATCACGGCCCGCAGCGGCTGATGCCTGAAGTTATCGTAGCAGCCGCGCAAGAGCGGCACTGTGTCGACTCGAAAAGGGATGGATGCCGCCCTCAGGGCCGCAGGGATGTCATCACTGGTAAGAGTGTTCGGGGCCGCTCTTGCCCGCCGGTCCAGCTGAACAAGCTGCACGATGGCCTGTGGTGTTGGTGGAGCGGCCATCTCTCTTCTAGGCGTCCCACTGGGCCACTGATAGATGGAATGGGATTCAACATCAGGGTTTGAAGGGATTGTGGTCCCCGGGTTCGAGACTGGGGGTAGCAGACCTTCCAGTCTCGCTCTTCCTCGAACGCCAGTTGCTCTCGTTCCTCTCCCCTTTCCACAGTTATGCTCCCGCTTCTTCTTTGCTCGCTTCTGTGGCTGTGGAAGGCTGGCGATGCCCAGACAACACAGCCCGCGCTGTGCGACGGTGGGTAACCAGACGTGAAGGGGCTTTCATGCACTCATCCATACCCATGCGGACCATGCCACCCATTCGTGATGGTCATTTCTTTCAATGTCAGGGCGTCCGGGCATCATCTTGTTCTTTGAGAGCGATTGTCTGCTTCCCCCATCGACTCTCTTGGGGGAAGATGGCAACCACACGTCGGCCGAGGAGGCCTTCCACACCGATGCCGTGGCGCGTGGGGCTCGTCCGCCTGACATCCTGTGTGACGAAAAGACCTGGAAGTACTGCTGGAAGCAGCTACCCAACTGGCTCTGGGACCTCACCACCTTTCAAGTGATCATCAGTGCACTCATGATGGGCGGGCAATGGACGCATGCGTGTGTGCTTGTGAGTGTGTGTGCAGCTGCTGAATGGAGCCCGTGGCAAGTTGGTGATCAAGGGGTGTTTCGGTCTGGGCCTGACGCGGTCTGTGTTTGAGGGCGGGCCGAGCTCGAACTGCGTCAAGGTGCGGGAGGACCACAAGAGCATTCTGAGGCTGTTCGTCACAGGGGCACAGGCCAAGCTGGAACTGAGCTGACGGGAGCACACAGAAGGTCTGCGTGGCAGCTTTGCTGTTTTGGGGGTAGGTGGGCGAAAGACAGTAGGTAGTGAAGTGAGACAGATCGTCTGTCTCCTCTTGAGGTGCGATGGCCTGCCTGCCTGCATGCCAGCCTTGCTGCCTGCCTGGCTGGGGTCGACATGACCACCGGCAGAGGTTTCTGCAACGTGTGCATTGAACATCGACTTCATTGAGAGCACACAAGGCAGGTCCGTTTCTGACTGGAGTCTTTTCCGTCTCCCTCCCTCCCTCCCTCCCTCCCTCACCGCTCGACAACTGACAACCAAGCGCACACGACCACATACATCTTCTTATGTATGTACATCATTCGACATGCGACATATCAAAGAACTGGTTGATGATGCCCGCCTGTCCGTGAGGGAAGGAAGAATCACAGCTCTGCACGCAACCAGGCATGATCAGCTCTGTACGATGTATACGCACGCACAGCAAGCACACAGAGAGGCAGCATACATAACAAACAAGGGCAGACAGAGGCAGGCCGCCATCCCTCCACACAGACAGACGGCCACGACACTTCCAAAAACAACGAACACAGCTGGGGCACGTCCACACACACGTGTACCCACAAGCACAGTACGTCTCACGCCGATTACATCAGATGCAGGCAATAGAACTGTGTGCGTGCGGAGGACGTACAAGCATGCCTCACACACAGACAGACAGAGTAAGTAGTAGATGGGATAGGTGCTAGTCGTCAGCACATCGGACGAAGTTGTGCGTGTCGCAGTCGGAGGGCTTGTCCCGGTACTGGCACGTCTTCCTCTTGGCAGCAGAACGGCTCGACCTTGCAGCCCAATAGAGGCCGCGCTTGTCGTTGAAGGTGTCGATTGCGATGCACTTCTCACCATTGCTGCCGTCGGCCGACCATTCGATCTCGCAGCATGGGCATCTTTCAAGGGCCTTTCTTTTGGCCACGCTCTCGCTGGGGTGACGCCACACAGCCCAACGATACCTTCCGTTGCAATCACTCGGGCGACCCATGGCAAACGCCATCGCGTTGCTGCCACCACTTTGCGACGGGTCGCCACCCTACATCATCACACACATACCACAGAGATGACATATTCACAAAACGAGACAGCGGCTGGCTGGTTCGCTGGCCGGCTGATTTACCCTGCGCGGAGGTGTAATGATGATGGTCTCGACCTCGCAGGCGACCCTCATATTGCCCCTCGATTTTCGTACGCCGGTCCATCGGTCCCTTTCGGTCTTGCAGTTGTAGTTGCTCCCCTTGCATTCGCCCTTGACTCTGACCTGGAACCGGTCGGGCACCCGTGTGTATTTGCGACTCAGGCTATCCCGACACGCACTCGACCACGAGATGCGGCCCGTTGTAGCTGCCGTCCACGGCGTTGGCCTTACTGCCGTCCACGGCGTTGGCCTTACTGCAGAACCGAGAGGTCGCATCCTCGACGTACGTGGCAGAGTTGACGCGCAGCAGGTCGTACGCCTCAGCGCGCGCCCTTCTCATCATCGTGGTGTAGGCGTTGTCGCACGTGACGCTGGCGTAGTCCTGGTAGAAGTATTCGGTGTTGGAGTAAACCCTATCCAGGCGCCTGACGGACGCACCTGTCACACACACACACACATGATGAGAGCAGAGGCGGGCAGTAAGGAGAAAAGCTTCATGATCTGCTCTCGCTCACCTGAGGTGTCGTTGCCACTTCTTGTGAGCCCTCGCAACAGGCCGCTCACCCTCTCGCTCTCTTCGTCGGCGGCAGCAATTGATGCGGTGGCCCCATTGGTATTCGACGAGGGCTCAGCGCACACAGCAGCAGCCAGCAGGAGGGCGCCAAGCAGGCACAGAAGGCCTTGAGTGTTCATCGCAAGGCAGACAAATCAGTCAACACACCCGGCAAGCGAAGAAAGCTGTAGAAAGACAGATGCAGACAGAACAGCGCGTTCTCAGAGAGAGGAGAGAGGAGAGAATTAAGGGGGAGAAAGAACGTCAAGAACGCATCTTCTCTTGCGGCTCGCAGATTTGGCCCTGGTTAAAGCCTCCTCGTTGTCATGACGTAAGATGCGCTTGTGATTGCATCCTGCGTGCTTTCAGGATTGGCCAGGATGACCGTTGAGCGCACAGTCCACGTGGCCCGGATATGGGGATCTGATACTTACAGACTCTAGATCTGTGAAAGCTATTCAGTAGGCCTCCGCCTCCGCTGATGAACCAACGAACGAGACATTAGGCAGTGAAGTGAGACAGATCGCCTGGTTCGGCGTGTAATCGCCTGGGTGCCTGAGGTCGACATGGCCATTTGGCAGAGACTCTTGCAATGCGCGCATCGAACATTGAGGGCACTGAGAGTGCAAGAAGCACTGGAGTCAATTTGTCGAGGCACGTCTCACATATAGCCCAAAACAAGCCCTACTCTGCTGCCCGCTCTGTCCCGCCTCTCCTTGTGTAAAGGATCTGATTCTTCCCCCGCGTGTTGATGAACGCCCTCTCCACGCGCAACTACACATACACTCACACACATAGACATACACTCAGCAGCGATCGATGAGAGAATGGCCACCCGCGTGTGCACCTGTGCATACCTCTCCCCCACCTGCGTGTCTCGCTGCCGAATCCACTCACACAGGTCGTCATAGGTCTTGACGGGCCTCTCCTGGCTCTGACGTGCGGCCCCACCCTCCCCCTCCCCAGCCGTGACCGTGATCGTCCGCTCAGGGAACAGGTGGCCGAACACGCAGCACGGCAGGACGGCAAAGGGCTTCCCAAAGCGAACGGCCATATCAACAAGGATGCCAGTGGCCTGGAACGAATGGAGGGACGCCCACACAGAAGTCTTGTTGATATGTGTCGTGTGTGGGTGGGGAGGGGCGCTGCTGATCTACCTCGTCTGGGTGCATGCCCACAATGACGGAGCATCTCTCAAAGAGGGAGAGCCGTGAAGGTGTCTCAGACGGGTCCGCTCGGCCGAAGAAGGACTCATCGAGAATGTCGCGGATCTGCGGTATGCTCCCATGAAGGAACGCCACACTCTGCATCCTCGTCATCGACCGCTCCGACGCCAGCCACCGGAACTGAGCCCTGCTCACAAAACACACAGTACCAAACACACAAGGCTGTCGAGGGGGAGCGTTGTCATCTTGCCCAGGAAACTGACATACTTGTTGAGCTTCATGGGTCTCGGGTCGATGACGGTGGCAGGTATCCCCCGGATGACGGTCAGCTCGAAAGCCACCTCCCCGCGCCCGCCCGCGACGTCGATGACGCCACTGCCGCTGCTCAGGTAGTCAACGCCATATATCGACACCTGCACCAGTAGCCACAACACACGAACTAACACACGCTTCTGCACAGTCCAGACGTGCGCGTGCATCTGCGCACCAGCCAATCGCAGAAGAGTGCGGCTCGTTTGGTCTCGGGCAGCTTGCCGTCGGTGGGGTGCGGGTCGTCTGCCAGCCGCGAGGCCTCTGTGCGGCGGTGGGTCATCATGCTCTCCCACTTGGCGCGCACATGGGGGTCAGCCACATGCAGGTCCTGACAGTTGGACCTGCAGGCAGCAACAGCAGAAAGACCAACACACAGTGTCGCTGTCTGTGTGTGCAGCCCAGCCTCCCTCTCTCCCCCATCTTATCTTGCTGACTGACCTGTAGCATACACCGCTGGTGGTGAAGAATTTGCACAGTCGGGAGATATCAACAGCAGCGGCATCGCCTTCACCATTTATACACACATCGCCCCCATTGGCAGCTTCAGCAGCCGCAGCCGCAGCACCAGCAGTGAACATCTCATGGTGGGTCTTCAGGTACTGATTGACGAGGCACTGGAAGTCGCCATCACTCCCGCCCCACTGCCGCAGCACCCTGTAGCCATGAACGCGCAGCGTGAAGTTGCGAGGAGACCGATTCTGCTCGGGGAAGCCCCATGCGGCAATCACATCCCCCAGCTTGAGGGCCTTGTACACCGCCACGTGCACACTGGATGTGACGGTGGTTGTGAAGCTGGTCGCCTCATGCTGGTCCGAGCTCCCATCAACATCATCTTGTGGGCGGAGGTACTGGGCGTTGAATGCCAGGCCGATGAGAGGGGGGTGGGAGGCGCCGGATTGCGCAGCAGGGGAGGGGCTAGAGGGAGAGGGAGGCGGTCGGCCTGAGGATGTTGGTTCAGCAATGTCTATGAAGCACAGGCTGCGACTGAAGCAACAGATGCATCCCTGCATCGATTGCATGATGGGTGAGTGCGTGCGTTCGTGTGCTGCAGACCTGACGGTTCTCTTGTGGCAGATCTGCCCCTTGACCGACACGAACAGAGGACGAAATGGCTCTTGCTTCGGCAGAGGGATTGAGTCGGTATTTGACCAGCACATCTCGTAGAACTCTTCGAAGCTGCACTCCCGCATCAGTGAATCATCATCCTCTTCGCGCCAGCGGGCTTAGCTCGCATTTCGAGGGGGTCTGCCCTCTGCGTGCTGCGTGTTGCGTGTCCGGGTTGGATGGCCACAAGGGACTTGGCTCAGGCCGCCTAGGGTGCTCCCTGAAACCGCTGCCCAGCGGGCTTAGCTCACATTCCGTGAAACCGCTCCATCCCAGCGCAGGCCTTCTCGGTGCCTTTCCTCTTCTCTCGGTGTAATCGTGGTGCTCTTTCTGCTGTCAGCTGCTGTTAAAGTGAACTGCTGAAGTTCATACTCAACGACTGTCAGTGCCAGCATGCCCATTCTGACCTCAGGCTACGCTGCCCGCGATGAATCGGGTGACTGACAAGACAAGCGCAGCACAATGCGATCATGTAGACAGACGGCATGACTGCATTCATTCTGCCCTGTCGGTCTGTTTGCCTGTTGCTATTGCACGTCTTAGGTCATATGTCGCCCTTCGTCTTCGAGCATCGTGACGTGGGCCCGCACGTAAGCTGACCACACGCACACGCAGTGAGGCAGGCCCTTCTCCCGCAGGACCTTCAATGTGCGTGGCTGCCTGGCCCGCTGTGTCGGTTCAGGATGTGCACATCAAGGTCACGTACTGCGGCATGTGCCACAGCGACCTTCACCAGATCAAGAACGAATGGCATAATAGCAGCTACCCCATGGTCCCTGGCCACGAGGTGGTCGGCATCGTCTCTGCTGTCGGATCAGAGGTACGTGTGTGTGTGTGTGTGGGTGGGTGGACAGTGTCCCCACACAAGCAGAAGGCGCACACGCCCATGTGTGCGGTGGCTGTCTGTATGTGTGGGCGAGCAGGTGACCAAGGTGAAGGTGGGCGACAGTGCGGGTGTCGGCTGCATGGTCGACTCGTGCCTCAAGTGCGATCGGTGTTTGGAGAGCGAGGAGCAGTACTGCATCCCGGGCATGATGATTGGAACCTACAACGCAAAGAACTTTGACGGAACTGTAAGGCGACCTTCTTATGCGGACCGATGGTAGCACCACAAGGTGCCTTCTCTCTCTTGTGTCTTTGTGCCTGTGTGCAGCCGACCTACGGCGGGTACTCACTGGACATCGTAAGCAAGCGGAGCGAAAAGTGTTTGTCTGTCTGTCTGCACACGTCTGCCTCGTGTATGACGTGCAGGTGGTCAAGGACCATTTTGTATTGAGGATGCCGTCCAACCTGCCGCTGGACGCCGCGGCCCCGCTGCTGTGTGCCGGCATCACCACCTGGTCACCAATGCGGTTCTACGGCATGGATAAACCCGGCACCAAAGTTGGTGTGGTCGGCTTAGGTGGCCTCGGGCACATGGCGGTCAAATTCGGTATGTGGATGCATGTCTGTCTGTCATAATGCGCGCGTGGCTGCATTGGATGTGTGACCACCGCTGTCTTCCTCTGTGTGTGTGGGTATGTGCTGTACGCAGGCGTTGCGTTTGGCTGTGAGGTGACAGTGATTTCGTCCAGCGCCTCCAAGGAGAAGGAGGCGATCGAGGTGCTCGGCGCCCACAAGTTCCTCTGCTCCAAAGACCCTGAAGCCATGAAGGTCATACATAGCACCCACCCATCCACCCACCCAAAAGCACGCTTCATGAAACACGGTTGTGTGCGCCTGTCTGCAGGCTGCATCCGAGTCGTTGGATTTCATTGTGGACACGGCGAGCGTCAAGAAGGACATGGCGCCATACTTCGGCCTCCTCAAGATCGACGGAACGCTCGTCGTCGTCGGCATCGCACCAGAACCACTCGAGGTCACCCATATGCACACACAAGAGAGAGAGAGAGAGAGAGTCTCTCTCATAGATGCGCTGTACTGATGGTTATCGTCTGCAGATCCATGCGTTCAGCTTGATCCCCCGCCGCAAGAAGATTGCCGGGTCTCTGATCGGCGGCATCAAGGAGACCCAGGAGATGCTGGACTTCTGTGGCGACAAAAATATCGCATGCACCATCGAAAAGATCCCCATGGACTACGTGAGCTGCCATGCCACAAACTCTGGCCACCCGTCACATCCATCTATCTATCCATCGTGTCCGTCCGCATGGCCGGATGTGTTGTATGTGATGGTTTCTTTCTCAGGTCAACACGGCTTTTGAGCGCATGACCAAGAGCGATGTCAAGTACCGGTTCGTCATCGACTGCGTCACCATCCCCACGGCCGACAAAATGCCCGAGGACGCCAGGAAGCACTGACTGATGAGATGACGCTTCGCCTGTCTGCCTGCGTGCCTACCTGCCTGTCTGAGCTTTTTCTTGAACAGACTGCTGTGACGTGTCGGTGTGGTGTGTGTATGTCCGTTAGCACGACCCTTTTTACTTACAGGAGGGGACACAGGCCGGTGATGGACGCATGGATGGATGGATGGATGGATGGACGCGTCTCTGTGTCGCCGCCCTGTGTCTCCCTCTGCTGGTCTTGCGACATGGACTTTGCATCTGCGCATGCGTCGACCTGCTGTGTGAAGTGGGCAGACACATGACGCATAGAAGGAAGTACGTACCAGTACTGCTGGCTCTCTGCATTTCTTCTGTCTGTCTTTGGCAGGCAGGCAGGCAGGCAGTTAGAGAGAGTTGCACATTCATTGATTCTCTCTCATGATGCTTTCATGTCCCTCGTCCTCCTACCCTACCTACACGTTTTGTCTGTCGGTCGGTCAGTGACATGTGTGAATGGCTGTGGTACTACCGTATCGTATCGTGTGTATGGGGTGGTTTGTGTTGGTATGCATGGGGAGAGAGACGTGGGCTGTGCAGTGCAGTGCAGACGCGTACATGTTTTGCCTACTACAGACTATAGTGGCAATGCGTGTGTGCGTGACATTGGCGTGTGTGCGTGACATTGTGATGCAAACAGGAAGGGAAAGTGGAGGCATGGCATGGGTGCAGGAGAGATCACACACTTAAATGGGTAGTGCCACGGAAGGATCCATGACATGAATCATGCCCTCAAGTGTCCGCGTGTCACATCCTTGTTTGTCACTGCACTACTGCATTGTCTGTCTGTCATCGCTCGCTGCAAAAGCCAGATGGACAGACAGACAGCCATTCAAAACCCTCTCCAGACGTACAGACAGACAGACATATGAACACACCTCTGGCCACACCTACACAAGTACATCTACGCACGCACGCGGCTGCTACGCCGCCCTTTGAAGGCCGTCCGGTCCCAAAACACACACGCGCACACCTCACACCCGACACGCAGCAAAAAGAGCAGCCGCTGTTCTTTCGGAACAGCAGCAGGCAAAACGAATGAACACGCGAAACCACACACACACACACACACATGGATCACCACCGGCAAGCATATCATCCGAGCTCCTTGATGGCGTGTTCGAGTATGTCGATGCCTCGGTCGAGCTGCTCCATGGGAATGTTGAGGGGCGGCGCCAATCGGACCACCTGACCCTCGCCGGCCGTCAGCACCAGCAGACCACGATCCTCACACCTGTCGACACACCACACACACCAACACACACGGGCGGGAATGTCGGCTCATGTGTCCAGCTTGTGTGCACTTACGTCTGCTTGATTTTGTTGACTTCATCGGCAGAATCAAATACGACGCCAATCTGCATCCAAGCGAGCCACACAAACGAAGCCTCCGCCCGGCTTCACGACGCACCCCACACCCCACTCTGACTCCCTTACCAGCAGCCCCTCTCCTCTGGTGTCCTTGATGCGCCCCCCCTCGACGGCCGCCAGCCTCTCTCTCAAGTGCCGTCCCTTGCTCTCAATTCCGCTCAGAAACTCGGGGCTGCTGACAGCGTTCACCACATAGTTGGCCACCGCACACACGAGGGGGTTGCCGGCGAAGGTGGAGCCGTGGTCCCCCGGCTCGATGGCACTCGCCACCTCCTCCGTCATGAGGACAGCACCGATCGGCAAGCCGCCAGCCAATGGCTTGGCGAGAGTCATGATGTCGGGGGACACACCTGAATGAAGGAATGGAGCAGATGGATGTCTGCTGCGTGTCTGCGTGTAGATGGATCTCACACTGACCGGCGTGTTGGTGCCCCCACAGCTTTCCCGTGCGGCCAAGGCCACACTGCACCTCGTCGAACACAAGCACCGCCCCGCTCTTATCACAGAGTTCCCGAAGGCCCTTCAGGAACCCAACATCGGCCGGGTTCACCCCGCCCTCGCCCTGTACAGGCTCCACAAACACCGCACACGTGTCGCCATCAATCGCCCGCTTGGCCTCCTTCAGGTCATTCCACGGACAGAACGTCACATCTCCACCCATCAGAGGCGCAAAGGGGTCACGGATCTTCTTCTTTGATGTGACGGTGAGGGCGCCCATTGTGCGGCCGTGGAAAGACTTCTCGAAAGCCACGAAGTTGACCTTTTTCGCCTTGCCGAGCAGGCCTTTCCTGGCCTTGCTGAGAGCCAGTTTGCGGGCGAACTTGATGGCCGCCTCATTGGCCTCGGTGCCGCTGTTGCAGAAGAAGACTTTGCTGGCGAAGGGGGCCAGCTGCACCAGCTTCTTGGCAAGGTCGATCTGCGGCTGAGTGAGGTAGAGGTTGCTCGTGTGGCTGAGCTTGGAGGCCTGGTCCATGAGAGCCGAATACCACCCCAGATCTGAGTGTCCCAAAGCGTTGACGGCAATCCCGGCACCGAAGTCGATGTACGCCTTCCCAGACGCATCATAGACAGTCGCCCCGCGCCCCTCGGTCAGCAGCAGGTTCCTGGCGCCATAGTTGTTGAGCAGATACTTCTCTGCATCACTCTTCAGCCGCTGCTGCTCGTCCACCCCGAGCGGATCTAGCGCCGCGTCTGTGTCTGCCGGTTCGTGTGCCGTCCGCTCTGCGTCGGTGGGCGCTATCTGCGTGCCGGTTGCAGCATGGCTGGTGATGAAAGATGAAGGGTGCGAGAGGCAGGGAGAGAGGGATGGAGGGTGAGAGGGTGCGGATGAGCGGAAAGGCCTTGCATGAGTGCCGAGTCTGAATGCCTCCGCGAGGCAGAGGCAGCTGACTCCCAGCAGCACGGGAGCCAATGCGGATGGAGTTTCGTGCAGCATCCTCATCAGCTATCAGTCTGAAGCTGAATTCTCAATCGCTTTTTAAGCTCGCAAATGAAGATCGCTTTGTCGACATTCCTGCGGCCTTTTGCTCGAAGCTTGAAGGTGTTTGTGGCGGGAGGTCGACGGCATGAAGGCCACCAATCGCGAGCTCCATCCGATGGTTTACAGGTGAGAAATCTTGGCACCGAGTTTGACTCGAGTTTGGGTTCTGATCTGTGCTGTGTGTTCGCAGCTGCATCTTGCTGCTGCAGCCCGTGCTTGCGGTGCTGATTGCGCTGCCCTTCACGGCTTCGCACACCTTGCAAAGCGTCTGCACGTCGCACCCCTACCTGTATGTGTGTGTGAGCGATGTCCGCGCGTGGCAAGCAATGACGGCTTCGATGGCCTCCTTTGCAGGGCGCTGATCTGCTGGGCGGTGTGCGCGTCTATCAACCATGTGCAGATCGAGTAGGCAGTCGAGAGGAGAGGAGAGGAGAGAAGGGAAGCAACCACCTGATGACTGGCATTGCCTTCTGAAACACAGCGGGCCCTTCGTTCCATCGTCCTTGTGGCGACGTCTTCCCAAGGGGGCATTAGCTGAGGGCATCGCCTGTGGCATACTCTGCGCCGTCTTCCCAATCCAGCCGGTCGGCCAATATGGTGAGCCTCGTGCTTCCAATGTCTTGTGTGTGTTGTGTGATGGTGAGTCTTACGATGTGCTGGTCTGCTTGTCTGGATGTGTCTGCAGGCTTCTCTCCGTTTCTGCTGCTGGTACTCGCGCTGGTTTGCGTGCTGACCGCAGTGGCTGGAGCTGCGCTGACGGTCAATTGCCGATCTCTGACGGGTAGCTGAGAATGCACTGAGTTACAGACGAGGCACATGCGCGAGCGTCCCTTGCCTTCTCGTGCCTTCCTCCTTACATCAGGCCACGCAGTGATTCCCTGCTACCTGACACACGGCGTGATGCTGCCGTGGATCGCCTTCTTGTACATCGCGCGGATGATGGCCTTCGCAAGCAAGGAGCACACATCTGGTGTGGCTCTTCCCTGCCTGCCCGACGTGAGTGGGTGAGGGGAATTGGGAGGCGAGAAGAGCCTTGTATGGATGTCTACCTCCGTCTCGCTCTGTCTCATGCATCGTATCAGGTGGTGGTCCCGCTGCCTCTCTTCCTGGCAGTACTTCTTGGTGTGGGCTTGTCCATCGCAGAAGACATTTGTGACCTGGAGCTGGTCTTGGTGTCAACGCACGGCGAGTACCACCACATTCCCGTGATAACGTTCCCCACCTTTTTGGTATTCTGCGTCTTCCTGATGGTGGCGAGCACGGCATGAGAAACCGTTGAGCCAGCCGGTGTCGCGGCAGAGGGCAGAGACAGACAGCAATCATGGAGTGAGAAAGACAATTGATTGATCGATATCGCTATTGTCGTTGTCTGAAACATACGTGTCGATCCCTTTCTGACTGATGTGTGGCCCACTTAGTTGGCCAGTCAGTCATCACATTGAAACCGCCACACAGTGTGTATATACGTGTGTGTCTCAAACCAGCAAGACTCCTGACGAACAAACGCACACTGAGTGCATGTCTCTACGCAACGCTGAATAAGCCCGTTCCATGCTGCTTTTCAGGCCCTCCTGTGCCATCTGATCTGCATGAATGCCCTCCCTCGATAAGGCGAACGAGAGGTAGGGGCACATACATACCAGCAGAAAAAGGCCGGACTGCCACGGTCAATTGTCTTCAGTCCGTCCACACTAGTGAGAAGTGTGGGCAGTGGTCCTTCCTAAAGGCATCCGAAAAAAGAGACAGGACCGATGGTCACTTTGCACTGCAAATGCAGGTCTCTTTGCAGTGTACCGACCAGCGCTCGCCGGCCCACTTCTGGTATCTCATTCCTGTGCCGATGTATCCAAGGAAGTCCGCCGAAAGGTACGAGAAAACGACGAGACAAATCCACAGCAGGGCGTGAATTCTCACTTTCATGACCCCCGGCTCAAACGTTGCTCGACACAAGGAAAGATTGTTCGTTCTCAGCAATATCTGCATACACACACCCATACACACACGTACTCCCAGATTTTTCCAAACTGAGGTGTTGAAAAGCCGACCACGTAAAGAATAAGCTCCATGAAAGTCTCGATGAGCAAGAGAACGCACAGCGCCGCCACGCCTTGAACGAGGCCGATGTAGGACTTGGTAGTGATGAATGCGGCCATAAGGGCGGCAAGGTTGGGATACAGTAGCGCTGTGATCTCCGCCATATCTACAGACCCCCAAACATCAGGAAAGGCACAGCAGTCTGACATCTATTCGGTGCTCGATCCGCCGGGTTTGACTATTTTGCTTACGGTAATTGAACACTTGATCCGAAAGCAGCCTGATTGATTGATTCCCACACAGAGACGCAGATATTAGTCAGCGTCTGACCTCAAGCCTCACGAATCCTGAGCTTTACACCTGAGATATCGGGGTGACGCCGCAAGCCTCGACATGGCTGAGGGGAGGTTGAAAGTGGACGCTGATCGCATGACTGAGTCGGTAGAAGCTTGCATTCGATCTCGGAACGAATAGTTGACCTTGCCTGTCGTCTTCTCCTCTTGATGCAGATTTCTCCAGCCCTCATGACTGCCGTCTTCTGGCTTTGGTCCGGCACATTTGCGCTTAATTGTAATATACAATACCACCGAATAAGGCAGACAAACGTCGCTCACGAGATCCATGAGAGAGAAAATGAGACTGATAAGCATCTTGTAGTTGAACGACACCATTTGGACTGCAGAAAGTCACAACAGCTCTTCATGACAAGGAAAGGTTCTCTTTCACTTACTCTGCAAAGTACGGGGGCCGATGGCGTAGTTCAAAGCTACATAAGTCACCAGGCATCCATTGGTCGTCGGCGGACCCTCCTGGTCACAATATGAGAGACATGATTGAGAGGAAGTTCCGGCATATGATTTACCTGTAACGATCGAGCTGTCTTACACGCCAAGCTTACAAAAGGCCAACCGATTACAATAAATTCGATGACAACATACTGCGTCCTGGCCTGATCTGTATTAGCCGCTTGTATGATGGACTCCATAAAACTCACAAAAAGCATTCCCATAACACCTACACACACATACAGACCATCACGCGCGCACACACACAGCGTCAGTGTGCATTCGCCGAAAGAGTGGATGAACTGACTGACTTCTTGACTGACTTCTTACAGGGAATGGCCCAAATGAGGGTGACTTTGGCTGCATACAGATTGGCCTTTTGAATGTTCCAGAATTTTGCCGACATGCGGAAGTAGGTGAAAGGCAAAAATGCAGCCATAGTGGCCCACCAAGTGGGAGCCAGGATGCAACTTCTCCACAAGATCGGCAGCTGTAGATGGTGTGAAATGCTGATAAGAAGAGACAAGACCATCGGAAAAGCAAAGACCCACCAAGTTCTCCAGACGAGATTCAAACGTTGATTGGCATCCGAGCCCCCCATCACCGTCGCATAGAAAAGACCGGCAAAGCAAATCATCGCCACCCGACGCAGGACATCAAGCAGAATCCACACGATCTTCATCTTAGGGCTGATGCATATCATCCAGGTCACAGCAGCCAAGGAAGCGCCAAGCAAGGCGCAAGCAAACGCCACGCACACCTGCCACATGATCACTTTGAGGACCCGCTTGACGGTAAACCATAATGGGCCGGGATCGAAGTGCGCCCCCATGACCACCTCTCTCGTGCCACCATCGAGCCCTCGAACGGTCTTATACTTGACAGTCGTCGGCCATTCTTCGAAGCTTGCCGGGTATCCGGCAACCCCTCTGAACCTGCAGTGAGACGATCACATGCACAGCCAGTGTTGTTCTTTGTGATGTGCCCCCTCACGTACTCAGCCACCGAGGCAGCAATCGCCTTCTCCTCCCGACGATGGATGACGTCAGGGGCGCCTATTGACCGGTCGCCTCCCTTGCTGTAGTCGTCAATGGCAATCGCCGTTGTCGTGTGTGCCGTGGAAGTGGAGAGCATGGACCGATAGGGCGGAATGCGCTCATGGCCCGGCTCTGCTGCCGTCTGGACGCACTCACCAGCTGCCCCCTTATCTTGCTCCGAATCGTTGTCATTCTCTTGCTGGTCGCCCAAAGCATCCATTGTTTGCTGCTGTGGGAATCTGATGCCGTCGCCCTCTTCTCCAGATGGCTCGATGGCATCGCCAGCCGATGGTGGGAGTGTCGCAGTTCCACGGTATGGCGATAGAGGACATGGAGGACAAATCGAAGGCTGCATCTTCTCCTCTTTCGGAAAGGAATGCAGGAAGGAGAGGGAGGGAGAGCCTGGCAAACCTCCCACTGCGTTTTGGGGCCCGTCGCGACGAGCTGTGTGTGGTCTCTGCTGGTCTGGCGATTCTGATCTGCGCGGGGCTCATCGGTAGGACCTCATCTTGCTGAATTCAAATGACGGTCATACTCTATCTCTCCTAGTATCTTTCTTGCAGATGGCTTTCCACGACGGATGCCGACTGCCAGAAGCTGCGTGACACACGAATGACGGACATCTCGGACTCGGCTGACACAGGTGGGTTTACAAGCGTCAGAGACACTGTCAGCCACATCCAGTCAGTGATGAGGAAGAAGAGGTCATGGATGCGGGGATGTGCTCGCACAGTACGGTCTTTGCATGCAGAGTCGACAAGGCTGGCTACTGTGCGATTGACTGATGTCTCTCCTTCTGATAGCATGGACACCAATTATCTCCGGGGTCGCGAAATGAGGCTGAGAGTGACAAAAAGGAGATTCAAGAGCTGTGTGTGGTGTTCACGGCTGCTTCTGTCCTTGGGGCTCATCGGTAGGACCTCATCTTGCTGAATTCAATGATGGTCAGACTCTGCTTTTCTTGCAGGTGGCTTCGCTTTCAAAATGGCGGAGGCCGATTGCCAGAGGCTTCGTGAGATGGACAAGAATGTCATTTTGGACTCGGCCCTGAGAGCCTTTTACCATGAGTGGTGCGCGTACAGGCGGGTCTTGCAAGCGTCAGAGACAGTCGCGCCGTCAGGCAGCGAGACGGAAGAAGACAGAGAGTTCGCTCTGAGGTAACGAATGGGCGGGGATGCGCTTGCACAGCACGCTCTTGCATGCGTTGTTGTCTTGATTCAGAGTCGACAAGGCAGGCTATTGTGTAGTTGACTGCTTCCTTCACGAGCCCTACCCTGAGGACAGCTGCGGCAGCATCCGTCTGAAGGACGCCGTCTGTCGAGGCCGAGTATGCTCAGGCTGGCTCAGCATGAGCGACATCCCGTCGATTGAGAGCCTCAGTGCAGGGGCCGGCATCCATCGAGTAGAGCTATCGAGGTCATTCACCCGTGCAGGCAAGACAATCACTCAGGGTTCTGGCAGCATAAACGTGACGAGGTCGACTCGTGAGAAATATGGAGTGGATGGAAGTGGCGTGAAGGTTGGCGTGATTGCGGACAGTTTCGACCAGAAGGGGCTGCCGCCGACCGGCGCTGACGACAGGAGCTCGGGAGACCTTCCCCAGGTTCAGGTGGTATCGGATTATTCCTTGGGGAGGGATGAAGGCAGGGCTGTGCTACAGGTAGATTGTCTGTCAGTCAGGGACATCCCTTTTCCATCAACAGATGTCCATTTTGTCCGTTTGCAGATCGTCCATGACATTGCCCCGGGTGCTCAGCTGTACTATGCGACAGGCTTCGGTGGCCTGGCCAAGTTCTCAGCCGCCATAGATCAGCTGGTTGATGTGGGATGCGATATCATTGTGGATGACGTGGTGCACGTCCATGAGAGTTTCTTTCACGAAGTCGGTCAGTCAATCGCAAACCACGTGTCGCACGACATCGTACACACAACTGTGTCTTTCTGCCGTCAGAGCCTCGTGTCTCGGTCAGTCAAGAGTGCATTTGAGCACGGCGTCGCATATGTCTCAGCTACGGGCAACGAGGGCCTCAACTCGTATGAAGCGCCATTTCGAAGCTCAGCGGTCCAAGGACCGGGCCTCGGCATCCTTCACGACTTTGATTACTCTCCAGGAAATGTTGATGTGTACCAAACCATCTCCATTGCGCCAGATGGGCGGCTTTATCTCGTCTTCCAATGGACTGCCCCTCAATTCTCAACGTATGGCCCCCCTGGACCGCTCCACGATTTCGACATCTATTTGGCTCTGCCGAGCTATGCGACGACTAAGAACATGAGCGACATCCTTGCCAAGTCCACATGGGACAATCGCGGAGCCGATCCCGTCGAGGTCCTCTACTGGACAAACAGCAACTATCTCAACAAGACTTTCTTACTCATGATCGAGCTCGTCAATGGACCTCTTGTAGCCGACCCAGTCATCCTGAAGTGGATCGATTTAGGAAACAATGGCGTCGACAAGACCGCACTCACGTACGACACCCAGTCACCGACAGCTTTCGGACACGTCAACATCCCGGAGGCCTTTTCCGTGGGGGCGTCGAACTATCAGTACTTCACGACTGACTGGGTCAGCAATGGCACACATACGCCGAATCGTGCCTCGTCTGGCGGTCCAATTCCGAGCCACTTTGACAACGAAGGCCGACGGATGGACCCACCAGCGCTGGTCTATACCCCTGATGTGGTGGCTCCTGATGGAGTGGACACCACGTTCTTCGGCGGCTGGGGGGACACAGACGCCACTGGCTATCCCAACTTCTTTGTAAGCCGCCCACGGCCATATCCATGTCTTTGCACATCTGTCCTGTCTCCCCGGTTTTAGGGCACCAGCGCGGCAGCTCCTCACGTTGGCGCCCTCATGGCCCTTATGAAGCAGCAAGACCCTTCCCTGGCACCACGCGACCTCTACCTGGCCGTTCGATTAACAGCCGTCTCCCCCCGGAAAGCCACACCAATGGACGACAAATACAGCTTTCGTGCAGGATGGGGCGTCGTCGACGGCAGAGGGGCTCTCGCACTCACTGACTGGAGAAAGAAAAGTAAGACGCGACAATTCGAGGGCCAAACAAGCAATGACTGCATGTGCTGTGCTCTTCAGTGAGCAAGAACACGGCTGTGATGTCGTGCGCGTCCGCCGGCGGCATCCTTGAGCAGACAGCCACAAACAATGGCTTGGCCGCGTGCTGCCCTGCACGGTGTGGCGTGTGCAGCGAGATTGACTGTGAGAGCAGGAGCCACTGGACACACAGAGAGTGTTGTCCCTCCGTCATTCCCACCGGCCGCATGTGCGATGAGGTCGGCCGCAGCCCGTGCATGATCGACAAGAGCAGAACTACATTTGGCACGTGTCTCTGGGCCGGTGGGATTGTGTCGACTGGAGCGGACCGCGGCTCTGCTGTGTGCTGCCCGATGGAGTGCGGCGTCTGTCAGCAGGGCGGATGCGAAGATCGGCCAGGAGGGGTACGCAACTGCTGCCCGAAATTCATCTTTGCGGAAAGGGAGACACGACAGTGTTTTGCGTCAGGACAGGCGCCCTGTCTCGATGGTGTGAACAAAGGAGCTCGCTCCTTTTGGCATCAGGAAGTATCGAGTTGTATGTTTGATGGTTCCTTGCAGATCCGCCCTCTGACCAAGCACTGACATGTATGCAGAGTATGGGCGGCCTGCCGTCTGCGGGCGGAGCCCTGTGCTGCCCAAAACGATGTGGAAAGTGTTCCGTGGGCCTTTGCGAGGACCCCGATTGCTGTCCGACACCCGTGGCTGGACCAAAGCAGTGTATGACGACAGACAGAGCCGGAAAGCTACCTTGTGTGGCTAGCGGCTTTGTGGGCGGCGATCGGCTGGCCTGTCCTGCCAACGGCATGTGCTCCCTCTCCTTCTCTGCTGTCGCCCCGAGGCCGATGTTCCAGCTGCTGATCCATCCAACCCCAAATGCGCGGTGCGGCAGCGATGCGCCGACAGAGCCGCTGGTCGACCATGTGATCCCTTGTCGGCCTGGAAGGCGACTTGTCGACGGGGTGCCCATGGCCGCATGCAACGTGACGATCGATCCGCAGGCACACGGGGTGGGCTCCGGTGCGGTGACGGTGTGTGGCTTTGTGCCGCCGGTCGATGGCGCCGAAGGGATTGGGGATTATCGGTATCACTGGAGGAGCTACCAGGCTGCCGTGGGCTCCTTTCGGCTCGTCAGGGGTGAGAAACCTGACAAAAGCACCAGTATAACATTTTGTGGGAGTGGATGCTCGTGTGTTTGTGGTGTGGTGTAGAGAGGGGTAGGTGCGCGGCAGTCGTGTGTCCGCCCCCGCGTGTGTGTGTGAATGCTGGCCTTGATGGGACGAGATGCGATTGCCCACCAGGGTACCAAGACAACGGAGATGGGCTCTGCCGAGGTAACCCATATGGCATTGCGTGCAGGCCTACGCTCTCCATATCTGTGTGGGTGTGGGTGTGGGTGTGTCTGCAGACATCGACGAATGTGCCCGCGGCTGGGACGGCTGTTCCTACGTGGTGGGGGCTACGTGCGAGAACACCGTCGGCTCCTACACATGCAAATGTCCTGAGTTCTACGCCTTCAACACGACCACAAGACGATGCGATCGTAAGCAGATCAGCCCAGACATGCACACGCAGAGGAAGGGATGCGATTGATGTCTCTCTGTGATGCTTTTGTGTGTTGTGTGCGCGCAGCATTGGAGGGCAGCCCGTGTTATGCGAACCCATGCCGCGACGGCAGATGTGTTGCGCTGGGCGACACATTATTCTCCTGCCGCTGCTATCCGCCATACACATTTGATGAGACCACACAGACATGCGGTCAGCCAGCGAGCATGGCGCAATCCATGGAGACACACCTGTCTGTTCCTTCCTGCCATGCAGTCCCCACCATCAATACGCCAGCCGTCTCGCGCGCACCTCAGCCCGACAGAGATGAGTCTTCAGCCAATGCCGGCTGGCTCATATCCGCAGCTGTCATCGCAGCTGGGTTGATCCTCGGCGCACTCATCGCCTGCAGCTGCCTCGGCTGGCGAAGAAGAAAACGATTAGCGGAGACGCCGGTGCTCAAGGTCACCGATCTTCAACAGGCTCAAGGCACGCACTGCCAGCCAGCTGCAGGGGAGGTGCTCAAATCCCCGACAGCCGGTGCAGGGCCCAGCCCCCGGCTGAGGACGCCTGTGAGCGCATCGAGAGGGGGAATGGACCTGCACAGCCCCACGCAGCTGATGGAAAAGGTACGAGCGAATTAAGGCGGGCGAGAGAGAGGGGGTCAGAGAGACGTATGTGGCGGGGTCTGTGTGTCTTTGCATTGCAGGGCTTATCGTGTGGACACACTAGAGAAATCTAAGGGAGACGATACTTAGCTAGGGCCTTCACTGTCTTGAGACGATTCTTTGGACTGCTGTGTCGACTGACTGATTGCATTGGGCGTTTTGGACCTACGGACGGATTGGCGAGTGACTGTTTAGAGATCACATGGCCGGCCATGTTGAATTGATGTGTGTAGGAATGCCCAGATCAATCCAGCCTGCCCGTCCCTCTTATTAATTATATATGTACTGGATGGGGTCGGTCAGTACCCTTCCTTGGTTGATTGCTATAGATAGCACACAGACAGACAGACAGACAGACAACAACACACACACATACACATGGACACGAAATGCCTTTCTACATGACCCCGCCACATTCATCCTCTCATCACACACACACACACACACACACAAAAGCGACCCAGCCATTCAGCCATCCAGCCATCCAGCCATCCAGACAGACAGACAGACAGACACAGACAAATAGGGCATCCATCCATCCCGTTCTCTCTCAGCCAATCTCTCTCTCTGTTCCCAATCTGGCGTCCTGCATAGCCAGCTTGCCGTCCCACCCACATATGTACACGCCACCCCCGCCCTCCCGAATACACACAGACAGCCGATAGATACACAACCAACACATACAAAATGATGGTCGGTCGATTGGTCTGTACGTGTGAATGTCCTCCCGATTCATCTTTCTATCGCCCATCCGTCCGTCAAGACATCTTCTTGCCCTCCAGCAGACCCGCACCGCCCGCCCCTGCATCGGTGGGAGTGTCGCCAGCACCCCTCTCGCCCCTCTCGCGTATCTCAGGGTCGTTCTGTCGGCTGGCCGGCGATTCGCATGCAGCCGACGACATGGCATCCTCACCGCTCCCATTGCCCTGGCCGTGTGCGGTCCACCGGCGCCTCTCGGTGAGAGAGTGCAGGTGCTCCGGCACGGCAGGGTCGTTGTCAATGAGGGTGGGGGCATTGGTGGGGGAGGGGCCGTCGTGGGTGCTGGTGGGGGAGGCGGAGCCGCTGTGTGCCGATGAGGATATGGACGGTGGCTGGGGGGCATACGAGGCCTCAGGTCGGTGAGCCACACGTGGATGGGCGCGCCTGCATGGGGGTGGGGTGGACGGATGGACAGGCACGCAGGCAGGCTGTGTGTGTGTGTGTGTGTAGTACCTCTGGGCCTCTGCGACATGCACTCGACAGCTGAAGAGTAGGACAATCGCAAAGGAAACCGCCCACAGCATCATCAGCCGGAGCGTCGAGTTGAGCTGCACCCATATATCCAGCCACGAACCAGCCAATGCAATCCATCAACACAGCGAGAGGAGCATACACACATGTGTTTGTTGCACTGTCCGTGGTGCGCGCACCTGTGTGAAGCGTTCCGGCGAATCTTCATATCCCAAAGCGACATACAGGGGTATCGGGCCCACTGTGTCGGTGTCCGCGCCTTCCTGGCGGCTGGCTTGGCCGTCACTCACAGCCACATCAGCCGCCTTGCCCTTCTCCGAGGACGTTGGCTCCGCAGGATGCTGCTGATACGTCTGCACAGCCAGCGGCCCCTCCTGCTGCAGCGGCACCCACACCGCCTTGCTCGGCTGCTGCTGCTCGCTGTCACGGCCGTCCGGTAGGCGGCTGTCGATGAGTCGTGTGTGGTAGGTATGGAGGGCCCGCCAGCTGAGAGCGACACGGCGGCTGAGCCAGCCGATGGACGCCTCGGCGAGGGCGACCAGCGCACCCGCCACTGGCGCGACTGACCCCTCCTTTAAGAGGCTACCGTACATCTGAATGCAGGCAGCAATTGTGGATAGATAGGTGAGGGCTCGTGTGTCTGGGTTCTCCTCTGCGTGGGTGTCACCTACCTGGTATGCTTCAGTGGTGTTTGACGGCCGTCCAATGCCCTTCTCGGTCATGACAGCCTTCTCATATCGGCCGCGACTGTCCCCCATCGCGGCAGCAAGACAAGTCCACTCATAGGATGTGGTCAAATTCTGACACACACCCACACACGAATGAAAGGAAGAGGGTCCCATCAGTCATCCCACATACAAGTGTTTGTTCCCTCCCTCCCCCCTCGGGTGCACTGCATGTGCCCACCTGAATGACGCCCAACGAGCCCTCCCTATATGCCCTGGCCACTCGATGCATTGCTGCAACACTCCCGGCCACAGCGGCCCGCTTCGCGAAGTAAAAGCTGCACACGGCGGCATCGGGGGGCAGGTGACGCAGCGACTCACTCGTGGCGGTCTCGGGACTGACTGCCGTCAGCTGTCGGCCATCTGCAATATAATCGCCATCAGCATCACCCTCCGGCTGCTGGTCCTGGGGTGACACCTGCTGAGCGGCGCTCTGGTCGTCGGCTCCTTCTGCGTCATGGGCGGCGATGCCCTCCCACCGCAGCCGAGTGTAATAGCCATCCGGCCGGGCCCAACAGTGAAGGTAGTGACGCACGCCGGCTGGGTCACTGGTCACATTGGCTGCTGCTGTCGAGTTGGCTTCCACCTCGTGGGGCACGGTGAGGTCCTGCTGCCGTATCTGCATGTGCAACGGCGGCTTCTGCGCCCATTGTCGCCACAGCTCGGCTGCGCTCTCGTGTGCCAGTGGATGACCTATCTCAGAGAGCAGCATGGCCCGCAACAGAGCTCCCGACACGTCGCCGAGAGTGTAGGCCCGCCTCGCGTGGGCGAAGAGCAGCTTGACCGTTTCGTGGTTCATGGCCACCTCGAAGAAGAGAGGAAAGGCGGCCTCGCACCTCTGGAGCTCTGTTCTATGCCGCACATCCGCCCCTTGCAGAATCAACACTCCCGCGTTATATTTCGCCACTATACGGCCGGCAGCAGACGCCTTGTCGTACCACAGCAGCGCCCTCGTCGTATTGAGGCCGTCTGCGGGCAACACGTCCGTATCGGCGCCCGCATACGCGTGGCCGATCAGCAGCTGAGCGCTGCTGTCGCCGAGAGCTGCGGCCGCCTCCAGGTGTAAGCCCGCCCTGGTCAGATTCCTCTCCGATCCGCCGATGCCGAACTTGCTCAGGTAGTGTTTCGCCATGTGGCGCTGGGATTGGTCGTCAGACTTAGTCGCCACCTGCGCAAGGTAGGGGGAAGAGTCGTTCGTCGAGCCATATGCACCGTCGATGTGTGCGAGCGCTCTAGCCATGGCAGCCCCACAGTGGCCGAGAACACTGGCACGGTGCCAGTAGGCCATGGCCTGTGGGATGTCACGCGGAATACCACCTGACGACGAAGCACAGCCAGCGTAATAGGTGCATTGTTTTGGCACACCCGCTAAAGTCACCTTCTCTGAGGCCGTGATAATACTGACAGAAAGCCAAAGAGACAGACAGAATTATTGGCTCATTGCATGTGCCAGTCTGTTTACCTGTCACCTTACCAGTTCGCCGAGGGCAGCGAGACCGTCAGGGTCTTCACGCAGCGCCAAATCCTCAACGAGCTGCGCATACTCGAGGCTGCCATACCTCGGCTGCTCGGAGCCATAGTCCTCCCTCCAGCGCGACTGAGACTGCTTCCATTCCAGCCTGTTCGTTATCAGCTCGGCGGCCGGCAGGTCAGAGCCCTCATTGAGCGAGTCAGACGCCACACCGAGCAGGGCCTCAAGAGCCACCTGGCAGTGCAGCGCTGCATGCGCCGCCGCGCCAATCTCGGCGGCTGTCGTGGCATTGAGTATCGCCAAGGAGTCGCCATCCATTTGGAGTAAGTGCGGTGGGATGGTGGCTGTCAGATTGATAGGCGGCCGGTGCATGCTGGTCGATGCAGATCTGGCGAGATGCCGGTATTTGTAGCCCTGCTGTGCCAGCTCGTGACGGAAGTAGTACGACAAGCTCAGCCTGCCCATGACGGCCCCCGCGTGTTGCGCCAGAGAATACGCCATGGTGGGGAGGTCATAGCCTTGCCGCTCCTTGGGCAGCTCGCGTGTGTGTGGCGATCTGTAGGGCGGCGCCACCTCCACCGCCTGGAACATCATGTAGATACTCTGATAGCCCGAGCCGTGGTCGACCGTCCAGCCGTGAGATGACCGCACTAGCGGCGGGTACCCAATGGAAAACAGAAACCCTGAATGCGCACACAAATCCACTCCATTGGCGTGTGTCCTCGTCGCACAAATACACGCCGGCATTGTTGCTGACGCACACACGTACCTGCCAGCATATAACAGGTGCCGCAGGACAGTCTGCTGCCCTTGATGATGCACTCGACAGCCTTGTCCACATCTCGCGGCCAGCCATGAGGGAAATCGACATTCCCGCGCTCATCAGGCACACCGAACAGGTAGAGCAAGGCCAGGTAGCCGTAGGCCTCGCTTGCAACGTGCCTCACTGGCGCCTCGGTTGCAGCGATGAGCCGCTGATGAAGGTCCGCAAAGTCAGGGTCTGCCGATCCCATTATTATGCGAATGAGGATGTCATCTGTAATGTTGGGGAAGAACGTCAGCTCTGCCACGGCGGGGTCCTCCTGTGCCCCTTCGTCGATGGCGTCATCTGCCGCATCTAGCGTCAGGGACGAATTACTCGCCAGCAACGCATCAAACTCATCCAGCCACAGCACGTGCTCATCGCTGGCCCATCCGTTGTCGTCGGCAGCACCATCATTCACTCCTGAGGGCTCCAAGTCCACTTGTGGAGCTTCGTCAGTGAAAGTGTCGGTGAACGCAGCAGCAGTGAGCAGGAGAGATAAGAGCAGGGCTACGCAGCGCTGAAAGAAGAGGCGGGGCATCAGGGGAGGAACAACAGTTCAACAACTCCATGCGAGCCTTCAAGTTATTCCGATCGTTTCTTCAGGATGTTGCGGAGTGCGCGAGTGCTGTGCGCACTCGCTCTGTCAGACAGCGGCACCCATATCTGTCTGTTTCCATCGAACGGCACACTCAACGACTGACTTTGTACAACAAATGACCGTAAGTATACTCAGACGCACACAAACTCTCCCATGGCCACGCACCCCACACGCACCACCCCCACCCTCACTCAGAGCCATACAGCTCAAGCGAACTCCAGATCCTGCACACAACAGAAGGTACGACACGTTCTGTCCATTGGATCACAAACACACGACTGTCTGTCTGTCTGTCTGTCCGTACCTGAGTGCCTTCCCTTGACTCGATTGTCTCCAGGTTCGCGGTGAAGGCCAGATTCTTGACATCAGACGCCAACGAGATCTCGCCCAACGTTTGCTGGTATACACAGACAAACACACAAACCCGGAGGAGACGTGCGTGCGGAGTGTGCACATGTCTCTCTCGATCGACTGTCTCACCTTCTTTTTGGCCGCCAGTGCCTGTTTCTGCGCCTCGGTGAGCTCACGCAGCTCAGATTTGAGGCCCTTGTCAGCCACCGTTGGCCGCACGGCCGTTTTTCTCCTCTGCTAAAGAAAACGAGAGACGGAAGAGACATGACGTGTCTTGTCGCGTCTCAGCAACGCCACGCATCTCAGCTTACCGGCCCTGGTGTTCTGATGGTACTCTTCCGCTTGTCCACATACTGCACTCACACACATATGGGGAACAACGAATGGCTCCGAGGTGTGCCGAGGTGCGTATTTTCTTGTGTGTGCGGTCCGTACGTGTTGGTAGCTCTGGTCTTCGATCTGCAGCAACGTCTCGCGGCGCTTCTCAGTCTGACATACAGACACAGGCAGCCAGCTAAGTACTTGTGGTCCCTCATCCATTGCTATCCATGGCTCGAGCCCATCGATCACCTTATCTGGCGGCTTCTTCCGTGTATCCAACACAGACGCCCTGCAAGAAGACACAACGCTACCAAGCATGCCCCATTGTTTGTGAATTGCCGTACCGTGCCCTCGAGATGATTTCAGGGTCGAAGCCCAAAGCTGGAATGCAAGACCAGAAGAGGAGGGTGATGGAGGCATTAAGCTTTCCTGCATCTGATTGACCTCTTTGCGATTTGCGGGCTTCGTCCTCTGGCTCCTGCAGCCACGGGTGATCCAAACCTTCGCAGCAACACACACACACATACACCTCTCAGCACGAGAAGGCGAGGATGGGCTGTGGTTTTGTGTCGATGTGGCTATTGTTTGTACACTGCTCGGCGGTGAGGCGCTTGTGAGGGTCCTTCCTGAGCAGCTTCTTCAGCAGGTCCTGAGCTTCTTTCGAGATGGGCCTTTCGCCTGACTTGGCTGGAATTTCGGGCTGCTTCAACAGAATGTTCTTCTGCACACAAAGAGGAGAGAGAGGAAGGGACAAGAGACAGTCGACGCTTTCAGTGGGTGTCAGTCATATCGATGGATTAGATACGCGCACTTGACGTGTATGTATGTACCAACCATGATGGCCTGGTCATTGGGCCCCTTGAATGGCAGCTTTCCGTACAGCATCATATACAATATCACACCTGCAAACAAGACACCGAGACGCACGAATCAATTGTGTGTGTATGTGTATGGGTGCACTACACGCGTGCCTGTGTCTCTTTCCTCCTTACCAAGAGCCCACATGTCTCCCCAATACTTGGACTTGCCCCTGATACACGTACAGCAGCAGAGACAGACCATCAGGATGCCCACACGTGCCCTGACCGTACGTACATACTCACTTGATGCACTCAGGCGCGAGGTAATGGATCGTGCCGCAGCAATCTGTCAGGGGCCTGTCATTCTTCACCTGGCAAAACACCCCTTCGTGTCTCAGTGCCTCTGTCTGCGCGTGTGTGCCCACCCTCTTCGATAGCCCAAAGTCAATCAGCTTCAGCGTGGCGTCCTCAGAATCATCAGCAAACTGAAGGCATGCATGTGAGGGCGCTGTTCCCTCTCCTCTCGTGTGCTCTGCCTCTCGTGTGCTCTGGTCGCCTGTTGCTTACCAGGAAGTTTTCGGGCTTCAGGTCCCGATGCACGACTTGCCTGGAGTGAAGATGCTGACACGCGAGCGCCATCTGCCGCATGAGCTTGGCCGCACTGCACACATTCAGACAGGCAACGGGCGATATGCTGAGGGGGCCGGGGCAGCAAGATGCTTACAGGGCTTCGGTGAAGAATTTCCTTTTCTCGAGTCTGGTGAAGAGCTCGCCGCCCGTGCAGGCCTCCATCACAGCATAGATGAAGTTGCGATCCTGGCGGACAGAAATCAGACACCAACAAATGTTGCCCCGACAAGACACTGGAGAGAGGTATGGACTGGCTGGCTGACTGACCTCGAAAACCTCATAGAATCTGATGACATTCGGGTGATCCACAATCTTGAGGATCTCGATCTCCTCCATCAGCTCTTGAATGGTCACGCCCACCTCATCCTTGACAATCAGCTTCACCGCCCTGTCTTCACCGCTCTCCTTGTGCGTGCACAGACGGACCTGCATAAGGAACAAGTGACAAACCGTGTCAGACTAGAGGGAGCCCGCTTCAACACGCATGCCATCTCTTGGCAGGGAGGGCCGACCTGTCCAAACGCTCCTGTGCCCAGCTTGGTGCCGATGTTGTAGTGGTCTCGGATGTCAGGGGCATAGCCGCACATGCACCCAAGGGCGGTGCCCATGTCGCCACGGCAAGTGCCTCGGTGGTTGAGAAGGGTCTTTCCTACGCCTCTTCCCGTAGCCCGCAAATGCCCCCAGTCTCTCGAAAGGAATTGAGAGCTTCCTCAGTTTGCAATGGTTTCGGTGTGTGCTGCGTTGTTCTTTCTCTGCTGCCTGCTGTTCACCTCTCAGGCTGTATCGCACAGCATCCAATGGCATCGGATTTCGCAGCCCAATGTCACCTCGGCGGCAAGGGATGCCAACATTGCCCAAGCAATAAAGGGAAAGATGCAGCGAGTTTCCTGCATGCAGCGGAACCTCCAAGAGCTTGGAGCAAGCAGGCTGCTCGGCGAGTCGAGGACCTTCAGCAGCAGGCCGCTCCGTGAGGATTTGAGTGATGGACTCCGTCGAGCAATGCAATTCGTGCGCCACATCAGGTCAGCAAACGTGGAGGTGCACACTCGCAACTCATCGCCACGTGCCTTGTGTTGGGTTTTGATAGCAGGGTTTGTGCTTAGCTTGCAGACATGTCTTTCTATTTCGTGCATCTTCGGTGAGCGTTGGCAGCTCTCGTGCGTGTCTTGCTTGGCGGGCTGGCCATGCCC